AAACGATAGATAATAATAAATCATATATACGTACGGAAAAGGGTAAGTGCATGGTATTAATATCATTCTTCATTTTAACCAAATTTGAGGTCCGCATGTAGGTCACCACTAGGTCGGTTGAAGAAAGCAAAGTTCTTACTAATGGAATCTTAGCTTAATTAACTATTATATTCTTTTTATATTTCTAAAATTTATGAATAAATGAGTCCTTTTTTTTTAATTTTAATTTAAAATGCATGATAATTTAAAATAGTCAAAATAATCATAGTTTTATCCTTCTGTAATATATTTACTTACTTTTATGTTGAAAAGGGTTTAAGAGGATTAATTTATATTTTAAATTATTTATAATTTTTTAATATACTAAATGTCTCTTAAATGATACTCCATTTGTGTGTAAATTATAGAGAAGGAAATTGTTGGTAATGAAATGTTGAAAGGCATGATTGAATCAGTAACAGGATTTAGTAGAAATTACGTATGTGTGAGGCAAAGTTCCTAATTACAAGCATGGCGAGGTGACATGCTACTTACCCGTTTGTTTCGTTCTAGTTTTTTTCTTATTTTCTTTTGACGTTCCCCTTAGGTCAACTCTGACATAAGTTGCGAAACTAAGCCAGATTTTCAAATTATACTCCAAACTTTAATAAATTATTCACCTCTTATATTTTTTATATTTATTTTTTCAATTATTTTCCAATTATTTTTCTTTTACAATATAATTATATATTTTTTCCTCTTTTTGTCCACTCTGCACCAAAAATGTACGTGAGTGGAAACTGGAAACCTATAATTATTCTACACCGTTAGTCTACTATTTGACCTGTTGAAAGGAAAAATATTCCTGAATTTTTGTTTAAACATAAGATTGTTGAGAATTAATTATAATTTGTATTGATTAATCATTTAATGTTACACTTGAGTAAAAGTACTATTTATAAAAATGGGACATATATAAAAATATATTGACAATTATGCATTTGAATTTGTCTCTATACTTTGTTAACAGAATTTGAATGATCAATATAATTGAGTTTACACTATGATACATCCCGTTAATAAATAGTTTTGAGTAAGAAATGAACATATACTATTAATATTATATACTAATAGTATAATGAATTATATTATTAGAATAGAATAAAAATGTCTATAAACTAACATTTTCATTTTCATATTTTAGATTCTTTAGTAATATATGATTATACTTATAGAAGCAACTCTAACGACTGTTGTTTTTTAATATATGACATTATTTTATAATGTTCAAAAAATAAAATATATTTAAATTTAATTTAGAATATTTGAATAATATATTAACCTACAATATTTTCAGACTTAAACATATTTTTACTTTTTTTTCACTCTTAATTATTTTTGTATACGGTGTTGTTAATTTCAATCTTAAAAGCTGTGTTTAGATAACTTAAAATAGTAAATTTTTATTAAAAATATAAAAAAATAATAAATTTTAATTTTAATAAAATTTTATTATTACTAAGACTTTAAACTAGATCACTTTTAGAAACTAAGATATATATATTATGCTTCACTGGGTGTATACGTTGATGAGTGTCCAATATATTCTTCAATACATCATTTAAATAGATATTTTGATTTTGACTGAGCAGCTAATTGGGCTGTACTGCACTTGGTAAAAGGAGATCTTCATGAAAGAAATAAGAAATGGTGATGCTTTTATCGTAGGATCTTTCATGCAGTAAACTTTCTTCCTTTATGATAGAATCAAGTAGTAGAGAGACAAAAGGGGTGCTCACAGCTACCAAAGGAGAGAGAGTATATGTGATGATTCAAGAGTATCATCACATTCGTTTATGCTTATGCAAAGTGATATCTCGTTGTACGTGAAACTTTAACAAGAATGACATAACGAGTAACAGCTTTTGGATGCCTTCCGCTTTCTTTCGTAACTTGTCTTATTACCAATACTTCGGACAACTCTTTCTTTATGATATGAAGAAAGCCTCACGTAATTTGGCTTTCTCAATCAATCCTCTACAATACAATGAGAGGGCGTCCTTTCGTTTCCATGCAGTATTACTTGGAGTCTTGAGTTCTTGTTAATTTGAGATTATTTCTCAAATCAGCAAGAAGACAAGACATAAAACTATTGAAATATTCTTCTAATCTTATTTATAAGAAATAACTATATAATAAATTAAGATCATTAAAAAGTTGTTATATGTGATAAATTTTATTTTATTTCAAAAATATTTATAATATTAATTAATAATTATATATATTAATTGATTGAACGTGTCTATTAGTTTGTGATTTGATGAATAAAAGATAAGTATCGTATTGGCAAAAAATCTCACAATAAAAAAGTATAAAAGAATCTAACAATTACTAATGTATTTAAAAATAAGTATTTTTTTTATATAATTTAGACAAAAATAAATATTAATAATGATTTCTTATAAATAACATTGAAAATAATATTTCATTTGACACTGTTTACCCTAAACACTCCATACATCAATTAATGTATCTAATGAGATTCCTTAAAGTAAGGTGCAAATTTAACACAACTTATGTATTGTTACACGTGATTGATGTTTAATGCAATTATACCTATGGTAAAAGCAGAACTATTGGTTTAAGCGGGTACTGTACTTTCTTTCAAGGTCGCTTGTTAGATAAGAGAGGAAGAATGCTAGTTTTCTGCTTCATTAATTAATTACCCCAGAAGCAAAGTTGGGCACCCTGATGGACACGATAACATATGGGTTTAGTTAAGGTCTTACAATTCCGTAGCTTTTTGTTGGGAAAGTACATCAACAATAAGGAAACTGCATCAATAATTATTGAAGAGGTTAAAGCCATTTTATCTTTTTAATAATATAGCAGTAAGACTAACAAAAGTTAATGAAACACCATTATGTTAAAAGAAGAATCCTAATATACTCTTTTCGAGATATTATTTTTACGCAAAATTCATGAGACCCGTTAAATAAAAGATATTTTTCTACTTTATTCATAAACTAGACAATATAATTTATATATATATATATATATATATATATATATTATATTAAATTTATGGTTATTATCATTTAAATATTTTAAAAATTAAAGAATATTTATGTTTTTTTTAAGATAGATCCCTAAACTTTACTATCTGTTGTATATATTTAATATAACATTAATAGTTATGATTAATCTATGTAATAAAAAATATAATAGCCTCTTAATCTTTAATACACCATAAAAATTACTTAAATTAAAACTTAACATCATCTTTGAAATAAAAAAAGTACACTTTAAATGATAAAATACAATTATAACTATTAATTAAAATTAATAATCAAATTTTAAGTAGCATACAAAATCAACAACTTAAAAGAGCTACATCTCATTAAAATAAGAAGTAAAACTCATTATTTAATAACACTTTTAAGGAGGAATGTGGGCAGCAAAATCAAACACAGGCTTATAAAGGACATACGTTGTGCAAACTATATTCGTCGGTGAATACCCTTTTTGTTTAACTAAATGTATTATAAATAATTAATAGTTACGATATTTGCATAATTATATTTTCGTAAACACCCTCCCGTAATTCAAGGCGGATTCATTTGATCCATTTAGTAAAATTGTTACAACTGTGATTTCCTTCAAATCCTATTTGATATCCACTTTACATTTTATTTTCTTTTTCATCATCACTTATTGTATTTATTTTGTTCTATTTTTCTTAGTTTTATCTTAATGTAAACACCCCATTGAGTGTCGAAGCATCATTTTTGTGAAAAATGATAGTGGGAGGTGTTATTTGAATCAACTTCATTGTTTAAATATCAAATATTTGACATTACATATAATTATCTTTATATCTCAGTTGCTTTTTATTTTATACACATCTTAAAAAATACTCTCCCAATATAAAAGAGAAAGAATTAGAATTTAAACAACTGTCACTATTAAATACTCAACTATCAAAGAAGAAAAAAAGAGGCAATCAGCAAAATATAGACAGCACACGTTAGGACGTGTCTGGGGCAACAACTAAATCCATACGGTCTCACAAATTCTAAGTGCAAGGGGACAGTGGACCAAAATAGAGGAGGTTGATGGGGCATGCAATGACTCCCATCGATATGGTAACGGTCTACTAGGCCGACCTCTAATAGTAGTTATCTTTAGTAATATGTTTAAACACGTTCCAAGTTTATGGTTAGCCAGTTGTCCAGTTACGTCAATTCATACAATTTCTGTGTCACTTTTTTTTTCTTTTTGAGGAGACAAAAGCTATATTCTTGATGAAACTACAAGATTTCAAGTCCAACCAAGTTGAGATAATGAATTAAGTTAGCAAATTTTAATTGAACACGACCTACTTCCTTATAGAATCACTTTTCCTTAATTCCTGTAAAGTCGATAACGATCTTGAGTAACCTCGAATATTGCTGCAAGAGTTTCATTCCGGAAGTTATTTTCACTTACGCTCTTTATTTGCCCAGCCTTAGCAAGCATATTCAGTATTTTATCATATCGCTCCTAAACCTATTTACATTTTTCCAATCTATCCGTTGTTTCTTTACTCAAGAATGTTTTAGCCACTCCAGTGGTCAGGAGGTATGAACATTGATACATCTAACGAGTGGTACAGGCAAGTTAGGCTACATGCCCCAGCCAGAAGATGGAATCATTATTGATAACAATAATTACTCTCCGGACCCCAAAGAACATTGAAACGCCTTCAAAGGAAACTCCTAAATTGACAGAATGAATATCATCCTAAAAGTGCTTTGCGGGGCTTGAAGCAAAAACAACAAATTCAGAGTAGATGCGAATGGTCAATATGGTTATTAATCTATAAAGAATTGTTCTTAACAAATTTATAGTAAAAGAGAAGCATCGGATAAAGCCTATGATAACCATAAATGAAAATGTTATAAACTATAACCATACATCTTGTATAATGCTGCACATATATTATAGATATAATTGATAGTTGACTAGTTCAACCTCTTGGAAGAAGGAAAATATAGATGAAAATTTAAAATGCTGGGTAAGGGCTTTCTTCATAAGGGCTTCGTAAGCAATGTTCAATAAATTTGCTAGTTTTTACCATGAGCTTTTATACTAATTCTCCTATTGATTCTAACTACAATGATTATTCACTGTCATAAACACGTGATCGGTAAGTTTAATGTACATCAGTTCCAGTACCGCATTCCTACCAATTTGTAGGGTGGTTAGTCCATTTTTCTCCCAAATCAACCGATTAATTCGAGATTGGAACTATAGGAAAGTAGTGAAAACCTAGAGAGGAAAAAAGAAGAGGGCAGTTGACAATAAATTAAGCTATATGTTTCCCTCGTCTAAATATTTAGCTCAACAAAATTGAGGACAATATCTCTCCCATGGTCTTCTCAGGCATGTCACCTTCACTAATCTCCTCCATGGACTCGAGAACAGCAGCATCTAATACTAGCTTTCTCTTTGCAATCTCATACACATTTTCATCAACTGTTCCCCTTGTCACCAGCCTGCAATGGAATATGTCATGATAAAACAGTCAACCAGAACATTCAAATAGATCCAATTTACAGGGCATGGATTTTAACAGAGAAAAAGCAGGCAAAGTTTAGCAGTTTTTCTAATGTTAATGGGAGTGAAGGAAAATGATAGATAAATACCGATATATGGTTACAGGCTTTGTTTGACCAATTCGATGACAACGATCTTCTGCTTGTCTGTCAATCTGTGGATTAAAATCCATGTCATGAATTACAACTGTATCAGCTCCCGTTAAATTTAAGCCTTGTCCACCAGCTCTCGTAGAAAGCAAGCATGCAAATATCGAAGTATCATTATTGAATGTGTCAACTATTGTTTGCCTCTCTGCTACCTGTGTACTGGCAGTGAAATAGTAGGATTTTAAAGATTTTAACTAAGGAAAAGCAATGTCTAGTGAAAAATACTAGAAAATGGTGCACACTTCGCAGAGTCACACACTTCATCAATGCGCAGATGAAGAAAACATTATACACTTCTTGTTCTTTTAGTAAGTAACAATTCATTACCGATGAAACAGCTAAATTATTAAAAGAAGCCACGACCTACTTGATTGACTCAGCACATAAGAAAATAATTATAAAAAAAAAAGATAAAATAGTGAAGCTAAAAAGTCCATCTACTCACAACTTGCAGGCTATCAGAGTATATTCAAATTCAATACAGTGAATTACAAAATTAATAGTATTAGTATATGAAATATATACATAATTAAAAATACAGTCAAAGTAAATTCTTTAAAAGATAAGGAGACTGTTCCATAACAGTTCTTGTTTTAGTTAGTAGTTGATGTTCTATACCTGTTGATTACAAGAGTGTATAAGGGATCTCATGAAGGGTTTCAAGAGTTGCTCAAACTCAATAATGGTTTCTCACCTTGAGTTTGCTGATGATACATTCTCTTTTTGGAGAAAGAAAGTGATTCTTCCTTGAATTTTCCTCTAAAGTTGAGGCTCACTCAGGTTTGAATGTTAATTTGGCCAATAGTGGTTTTGGTGGTTAAAATGTTGATTATGAAATCCTCTGCCCATGGCTATTAAATTACTTGTCAAATGTTCAAGAGACCTTTATTCGGTCCTTCCTTGGTGTAGTAGTTCTCTGGTAATCTGTTTCCAGGATCTGTCATTCAAAATGCTTCAAAATTTTGGAGTTAGAGGGGCGTTTATTTCTCTCTAGACGGTTGGATACACTCATCTAGGCTTATCTATCTACTTTTTTGTATCACGCTCAAGGAGTTTAAAAGGATAGAGAAGTTGCACACCTATCACTGAAGAAGGATGAGTGGGTATTGAATTGAACTTTTGGTAATTGGTTTCCAAAAATATTGCTTAGATGGCTGAAGAAGAGCTATGGTATCATCCTTTATCGACTTTGTGGCACCAAGTTGCTGTGTGTTATATCATTTAAAGCCAACAAGGGCAGCAGACAAACAAACCAACAATTATTGCAACAAGAATCTTATTCCTAGAATTTTAGTAGTCATACTATTTTTGTGTTAGAAATCTCATAGAATTGGGTTTGTGCTAGTGCTAAACTAGTTCTGGACCAAGATTGGTGAGTATAAAAACGACTGTAGGAGTACTTGACCTAAATTCTACCTCCATCCACTCTTATTCCTGCCATGCCATCTTTATCGTCACTGCCATTCATCACCATCACCCCTGATTTCACGCCTTCCATCAACACCTTCAACTTCCATGTCATAAAATTCACCAAACTAACAACTTACCAAAGAACGATATAAATTAACAAATCTGGTATCGGTTACCATGATTGAGACCCTGGACACTGATCAACCTTCATGTACATCAATTACCTTCAACCAATGGCAGTTTACCCCTGAGAGGAGGATATCATTGTTTCCCTCATCAGCCAACACCAGCATCCTCAGTATCAGCCACCTCTACCATGGCAGGCCTCCCCCAGCCACCCCTCAAAGGGAATCTCCACCATCCAAAAAGTTGGGGCCTTGGGTCACCTCATTCTCACCACTCCAATCCATTTTCAATTCTGGAACAAGGGAGTACAGATGATGTAAAAATATTGCTACAAAGTAAAGCACTTACACATTTTTTATTGACTTGGAAAAGTAGCATATATTCGGGCTATATAAGACATTTATAAGGGGGTAACTACGTATGTGAGAATTTCTAGAGGCATATCTAAAGAATTCTTAGTAGGAATATGTTTAATCAAAGGTTATCCCTCAATGCATGTTCTTTGCAGATAATATAATGTTAGTTAAGGTTTCAAAAGAAGAGGTTAATGTTAAACTTGAATTATGGAGGGAGACTTTAGAATCTAAAAGTTTTCGCTTCAGTAGAAGTAAGATACAATATATGTATTGTAAGTTTAGAAAAAAACAAGATGAGGATCATGAAAGTTAAAATTAGAGATGATATTATACCAGAAGTTTCTAGTTTCAGGTACTTATGATCAATTATTCAAAATGATGGAAAAATTAATGAAGATGTCACTTACAAAATACAAGCTAGGTATGTAGAGTGGAAAAAAGGCATCAGGAGTTATTTGTGACCATTTTTCACTTTTTAAATTTAAGTTTCATTAAATATTAGTTTTTATTTATGTTATTTTTCTCATTTATGCTATGTGCTTGGTTGCGTGTTTGAATATTGTTTTGTATTATAAGTAGAATCTTACATTCCAGGTTATGATCATACAAGTTACCTGTCTTTCCTCCCTTTTCAATCCTACGTAGGATCTTGATTTTGACAACCTTGACTCCACCCACAGCTTCTTTGAGAGAAGCACATCAGTAGAAAAGCATGCTGAGGAGAAATCATCATAGCATTGGTATAGTTTCTTTTTGCTGTTCCCTGTTTGTTCTTTTGTTACTTCTATGCAGTATTTCCTCAATGCCTCTAATAATTTTATTCTTTTACCCCCCACCCTCACACGGAGAGAGAGAGAGAGAGAGAAAGAGAATTTCCAACACCCTCAAACAAAATTTAGCAACTTTACTATGTCTGATTACGTCAAGTTGTCAACACAGCACACACAAACACTGGATTACTTGTCATATCATTCTCATAGGTGACTTAACGTTCTCCTTATTGAAGAGCTGAACCAAGTAATGCAATATAAAGCATGCCCTAAACTAAACATCAGTTGAAAAGTTTTAATGTCAAAAAACAACAGTACCTTCCATCAAGCCGTTTGTAGGTCAATCCAATGACATCCAAAGACCACTCCAATATGTCAAGCATTGATGTCCATTGACTAAAGATCAAGACACGATGTCCACCCTTCTTTAGCGAAGGAAGAAGTTCTGCTAAGGCCTACATTATCCATGGAGTACCTCAATCTCAGCATACCCAGCACATTATCATGCCACCGCTGTATGGTTGACAATTACAGAATTTTTAGAGTCACAAAAATCATACCCGACATTTTGCAGAAAGCATAACATGCTTATCTTGAAGGATCCCCTTTCTATCATTGACACCATAATGAAGTAAAAGCTGCAAATAAAAAATTTACAGCTTGAAATTTAAGCCAATGCTATCCACAACATAGAAACAACTGTCAAGTAAAAATCTTTAATTATAATGCTACCATAAAAGCTTGTTCTAATGAAAATGTACTACATTCTACCTCACTATAATGAATAGAACAGACCCTAATAATGATGAGCAACATAAGAGGTATTATTACAAAAAATTGACAAAGAAATGGTTAAATACTTATTAGTTACCAGAAAACCTAAATCAACCGAACTTATAAATTTGTAGTTAGAAACCAATAACATACTGCATTAATGGGCAAACAGAATGAAAATAAAGAATGATTGAAAGAAATCTTTAGCAGAAATCACTAAAAATATCATACCTAAATGATTTTAGTAAATTTTGTTTCTTACATAGTCTAATGACAACTGATTGATCAATCTAGCCAATCCCTATCAGACAGTTCAGGTTTGATTATTGTTGTTGCACATTTTCAGTATCTACTCAAGTGTTGGACCTAGATGTTTGCCTAGTTAGTTATGCCTAAGATATTCCAATGTTGTCAAAAGAAGGGTTGACACATGGAAAAGTTTAAGTTAACAGAACGCAATTAGTTGAAATAACCATTCTTGGGCTTCCATCTAATGTCAATGACCAATCAATACGAGCTTAAGCAATGAGGAGGAGGCCCAAACCTGGTTTTTATCTCATCATTTATCATCACTAGAAACAAGGAGCATTCACTTAAAGGAAAATTATATAAGATGTGATAGCATAAACAACACTTAAATTTAAATATCTAATCATTTTAATATTACAGTTTGGTTTTCATTTTGATGTTGATTTGAATTTCCATATGTCTTATTAATAGTTAAATTGTAGTTATTTTAGGGTTATTATCAATACTATATTGTTACTTTTATTTGATTGTTGATATTATCTACGTAACTACGTTACCCTTATGGTCTTTCAGTAGTAGTAGATAGTCTCCACTCTCAACTTTTAAAGGATGAGAAGTCTATTCTTATTTATTGTACACTAAGCAATAATATATCAATTATGGAAGCATACTGCTTTCGTGTTATGGAACCAAACCCTAGGTGCAATGCCCAAAGGACCATAGAAGTCATACTCATGTTCATTTCTTCAACTTCTCAATTCTCATCATACACCTTAGTTCTTTCAACTTCTTTACACTGCCAAATCAAATTCCTTTGGCAGGCTTTAGCATAATTAAAAATTTGCCCCGTCAAAATTGTAGTTGATTATTCCATTGATTTTCCCTAAAACCTATCAAAAAAAGAACAAGATTTCAAAGGTTTTATTCATAGCACCCAAACAGTGATCAATCAAACCCTAAAATCCCCTCCTAGTCATATTGCCGGCAAAAGCCCCCCTTCAGACCAAAACAATGACATTCAAACTGTCTATGTTTTAATATTATACCCATGCTCCCAAAAACCCAAAATATGACACAATCCCAAATGCTTTCACAGTCCTACAGCAGAAATACCAACTTCTAATAAAACCAAAACATCTGTGCACCAAAGAAAAACATGCAAAACCAGTTGCATTGCAGTACAATTTAGTTGTTGGTTTTCAATTAATTGATGCCAAATTGCCAATTATAAAATTTTTATGTTTGAGAGGGAATTTACAACAATCAGGATGAAACCTAAGGGAAAGGTTTGTGCACTAACAAAACTAATGGTTTACCAGACCTCAAAATAATCATACCATAGTTGTTAATCTCGAATAGCGACAAATAGTGACTAACCCCTAAAATGCTTTAGAAGATAGCATATAGCAAGATGACTGCTATTTAAAAAACCAGAGAAGAGCTGCACAAACAAATACTGTTATGCAGTCACAGGAAAAATGGTCGAACATCGGAGAAGGTGATCTCTCCGGCGAAATGGAGTGGGTGAGGAGGGAAGTGACCATCCAAGTTGCTGACTTTTCGTATGGAGGAAGAATGAAAGATTGAATTCATGCAGTCTTCTCTGTTTTATAATATATTTTTCATAAAGAAGAAAATGCCCTTTTTACTATTAAAAAAGGTCAAAACGGTGCGTTTTGGAAGAAAATAGGGTTTCCCATCATTTTCCCCTTTAGCATGCAATGTATGCCCTGTTCTGGTCATGAACAGTGCACAACCACTGCAAATTTCTCCGTAACACAGCAGCAGTGGTGACCAACGGCCACACCACTATTGCACGCTATTGACTAGTATGAATCATACTAGTTGGATGTTAAAAGTAGGCAAAAGAATGAAGTGAGATGTACTTGGTGCTGAGAATTCTCTCCAAAAAATTATATCTTGATGAGTTTTTTTCCTTCAAAGACTACATCATTATGACACCATACTATTTACAAAGGGTACAGTTTAGACCACAATGTAACAAGAACAAGCAAATGCTACAAATTGAGTGCAAGTCCTTGTAAGTTTATTTATCAGGAATATGCTTCTTCACTTTAGTCCATTGGTTTATACGTTTCAGAAGAAATAAGCATGACAGATGGCCAGCTTAATTAGGGAGAGACTCATCAATCCAAGTCTCAACCTTCAATTCAAACAGGAAGGGTCATTATTAAACCCCAGGCACACTATCAGATAACAGTTCGGAAATTGGATTATCTCACTATCACTCAACCAGAGATCTCTTTCATTATAAGCAGGGTTGGACAGTTACAACTTAATGAGGTAATTAATGAAGTATCATGATCAGGATCCTCAGCTTTATTAAAGGAGATAACGAGTGAGTACCACATGAAGATAAAGTACATACTCAGATAATTGCTTTAATAAATGCTGATTGGGCTGGGCCTCCTTCAGCTACATAATCTATTTAAGGATATTTTGTACCCACTGCAGACAACTTAGTATACTGGAAAAGTAAAAAGCATAGACAATGTAGAAGTATCAAATCCCTGGCGTTGACAACCTATGAATTCAAACATCTGAAATAGTTGCTTCTAGATTTGAGGCTTGAAGAAATAAAATATAGAAACTATTATGTGAATATCAAGCAACCTTAAAAGAAACTATCAGTAAGCTCATAATTAGGAGGCAGTTACCAGGGATGGTTGTTATAAAGGTCAGAGTAAGGAGAATGAGGTGTCTTTTGTAAGTGAAAATGTTTGTGTAGGAGGGAAGCCAAGATCTCTTGAATATTTCTGGCATTGTATAATAACTGTCTGCACCTACATCGGGTACAGGACTGCATTCTTGTTCATTCTCAGTAATACAATTCAATCTTTTTACTCTTCGCTTGCTGTACCAGTTCTAACACCATGTCACATCATCAGGTATTCCATGTCAGATTTTCAAGAACCAAGAGTTTTCCTAAATTCGGTTTGGTATCTTATCTATGAAGCAAAGATACAACATGGAATACAAATTCAACAACACTTGGATACAGCTATAAAACACATTTTTAAAACAGCTTTGTTAAACATGGAATGCACACTTGGATACAGCAGTACTTAAGTTAATTTTAAACACCTAAAAATTGTAAATTTTTATTGAAAAAGAAAACATTTATTACATTATATTCTGTATTCTTAATGTAATAAATGTTCTTTCCCAATAAGCTTCCCACTTTTAGTTGCTTAAAATTGGCTCTATGGGTTGATATTAACATTTTCCTATTTAAAACTATAGGACACCGCACAACTAAAACTTGTTATATAATAACAAGAGTTAACATATAAACATAAGAGAAATGTCAGCTTTGCTTCGTTCATTTAGTGGAGCCAAAATATATCACTTTTTTAACCATATGTCCAGCTCCATTTTACTTTTAGAATGCATCAAATATCGAACAGAACTCACGCTATGTTTCTTCCGGTTCTAACACATCTACCAAACACTACAATAAGTACAGCAACAAATCACAAATAAGTCAAAGCCTGAGAAGTTCAAACACAGGGCAGAGGCATATGAAATGGATCACAAACTGAATAGGGTCAGGACATCAGGGAAAGGGAAGCAAACTGGCCAGAAAATCCCGGGTGTCTTCCTGGAAAATGGGTACTTAAAGAACAGAGCTTTTCCATTTTAGCCACTGAATTTTGAAAACAAAGGGGAAAACTAATGCTAAAGAGGTTCTGAAGCAGTAAAAGTTAAGAAATCCTAAATTAATCATAAAAAGACTTGCTAAGGAAGAAAAGGTTTGGCGTGCTCATTAATGGCGTAGCAGCTGTGGAAGATGGTAATTGGCTGTGAAACAAGCACACCCATCAGTAACTGCTGCTCCACCACAAGCCAACCACAGCAGCCAGTTGGTGCAACATGACATGTCAGTGCCATAGTTATCAAAAGTGTAAGTTTACCATGCTTTCATGGCAGCACAACAAGGAGCAGCAGTTGGTCACCGCAGAAATTCAGTAAAGCAGCATTAATTACAGGTGTCATAGGCACTTTTGCAGACCCAAAAGCTGTATTTTGCAGCACTATAGCTCTAACAAAGAAGCTAAGTTGAAAATACAATTTCAGTCCTCAAAATTGCATCATTATGAGACTTTTTTAGGGGTAAAACTATCTTTCTATTTTCCAGAGATGTTGAAAACACAACTTCAGTCCTCAAAATACCCTACTTTTTGTTTTCTTCCCAAATTTTCTAAGTTTGAACCTCTCTTCTCTCTATTCTGCCTCTGTACAACCAAAGTGGCAGCAAAGCCACCCATCTCCAGCAGGTTTCCACAACATTGATTCCTTTCTATATTTTGCAGTTCTTGCCGATATTATGTTCTCTGTTGTTTCCTCTCTGCAATCAGTAAAACATGTTTTGTTTCCTTCACTATCTTTTTTACCAGTACACTTTGCTTAAATCCTATTACTTTATATTGATAATTATAAATCTCGTGAATTTTGAGTATGTTTTTAGCATTATGTGTAATTATGTAAACAGCATAGTTATAAGGCTGAATAAAAACAATTTAAAATAGCAGTCAATCTAATCTAACACAACCCTAAATACAGAAACAAAAAATCCAACACAAACTACTTGAGCATATTGATGAAAGCCAAGCATGGAGATGGTCAATAACTAAGTGCACTGTTCTCAGTAGAAGATTTACCCGGTGAATAGAGAAGTCATTGTAACTTTTAAGCTCCTCCATAACTCTGTCCAATGTACATTCAAAACCAAAAGCACCTATTGGATGTAGCTTTTTAGCAAAGCGAACAACATCCTCATCATTGTAGATTCGCCTTATCAACAAGGGATGGTTCGCAATCTGAAATAAGAATAGAGAAATATATAACAAAATAATACAGAGCAATATAAATTCCAAAAAAAAAAAAAGCTGGATTTTATGTCAAAACATAAATATGAACATCAAGAACCTTGCGGAACTGAACAAAATAATTATTTATCTGCCGTCGAGGAAGAACTTCAAGCACATTTTTTGAATTAAGCCCAGAACATTTTGCCAGCCGAGCTTGTGAAACAGCACGATACTCTTCAATGGCTTCCTTGTAAGCATTTTCCTGCTGCTTTTCCATTACAACATATTCAACCTGCAGTAAAAAATATTTGAGTAATACTTTAAAATATATAGCAAGCTTATTAACGAAACAATAGAAACAAGGACATGATGGAGATGAAGACAACTTAATAAAATTGGCACTAATGGTGACAGACATACCTGCTGTATTTTTGGAACGAGTTGTTGCATTACATCAGATTTCAGACGGCGCAAAATAAATGGCCCTAAGATGGACTTCATACGACTAATTAAATCTCTATCTTCTGCATTTAGTAACTTTTTTAAGTCAACATCTTCAGAAGCAAAAATATCAGGCATCATAAACTCCAACAACGACCATAATTCCTGCAACAAATTCATAACAATGCTTGCTTCAGCATATAGATTTATATTAACACCAGCAAAACCAACAGGTGGAGATGACAATCGTAGAGATTTTGTTCAAGATTCCAGTTAATTAGCCTGATTGTAAGTTGAAACTGTGCTTACATAAGCCTATTAGACACTTCTAAACTGTTTCTTGCAAGTAGTATATTTGCATATATATTTTCAAAAGGGACAGTATAATATAAAAAAAAGGATTAAAAAATTGGGACTTCACAGTTTCCCAACAGTAATCATCATACAAATATCATAATGCATTGGCCTCATAGTTATCAATCATATGCAGATAATTAGAAGACACAACAGAGAACATAACAGAGGTAGCACTGCAAAATCAAAGAGAGAGAAGAAAGGAAGTCAATTTTGGCAAGGAAATCATTGAAGATGGGTGGCTCCACTGGACTGGAGATAGTTGTGAAGCAGAACGGGGACAGATGAGAGGGTCGAACAGGGAAGGGGAGAAGAAAAGCATGGAGAAATAGTGAGGTTAGGTCATGTATTTCCAGTTGTGAAGCAAAACAGAGACAGAAACAGAGATGAGAGAAGGGAGAGTCTAACAGAGAACGGAAGAAGAAAAACATGGGGTTAGGTCATATTCTGAAAATTGGAAAGAAAAAAAAAAAAAAACCATTTTACCCTTAAAAAGACTTAAAACAGGATTACTTTAAGGGAAAAAGGGAAAGTCAGCTTATTTTTAAAACGTGAAAAGTGTTTTTTACCCTTAATAACCCTAAAAAATACTTTATTTTGAGGGTAAAAAGGGAAGGTTGGCATTTTTTACTCTAGCAGCGCTATTGCACCACAAAAGGCAACGTTTAGGGCCATGATGGCCATGGCAGCAAAACACTCTGCTATGCCAGATCTGTGGCAGCCAAAGGCCACTCCGCCACAAATCACTGCTATAACACACTATTGACAACTATGATTGGCCTTGGGACCAACAACCTACATCCTACTGGCTACTCCAATAGCCAAGTACTCAACAACTTTGTGAACTTGTTATTGTTAATATATAAATTTTTTATTCTTATTTCGAAATATTATGATGTTAACATAGTAGTCAATCTACGATAGCGACACAGAGCGGCCGACCCCAAAAACACTATAGCGGATAGCAAGATGACTGCTATTCTGAAAATTTAAAATATACCAAATATAGATTATGCTACACATATATATGCTGAAGATTTCAAATTTCAATTGTCTGTGGGGTTCTCAGAAGTCAGGACAGAGAAGAAAAATAGAACAAAACAGAGTGGTCTCACTGGAAAAAGCCCCCATCGCAGATGGTCTCCCTCGAAAATGTGTGGGTCTTGTTGGAAATGAAGATGACTATAACTTGGTTGGATATAGTTAACAGACTCAGATTTTGGTTGAAAAGTAGCCCCTAACCCAAATGGTTCATGTAAAAGATGAGTAGGTGAACACGGCCGAAAAAAAACGTCAACAACTGTGAAGCTTGTTGGATGAAGTAGAAGTTTCCGAAGATGGTGAATGGAGCACTTAGGGTTCAAGAGTACCAAGTTTGAATAATATAACATGCAGAAATTGACAATGTACAGGGGGAGCAAAATCCCAAAATTCCACCCCCCCCCCCTAGAAGTCTTTTAATGTTAAAACGAAGGGTAAATTTGACATTTCAATCATGCATCAAATAGCAACCACGACAGCTGCTATTTTCCTCGATTTTGGGCGCAATTAGCACCGCAACACTGAACCGCAATGTTATGTACTTGGAATAGCGGCAAGGAGCTGCTACACCACAATAGCAATCGCTATTGACTACTATGGATGTTAATGAATGAATCTGTTCAGCAAGCAGCTGCACTGCAGTAGGCATGCATGAGAGTAAGCTCCTGACCACCACACGGACAGTATGAAAGCTAAAGGGATTCACTAAAGGAATAAGATACCAGAATCTCATGAAAACAAGGGAGAGGTGAGGAAGGTGTGAGGTGTGAATTCAGTTTGAGATTATGATCAAAAGCAAAGGGAGAAAAAGGGGAAGAGTGCATATTTGGATTAGCTTATTTTTGGCAATGAGATTATGGGGGAGAAAAAAAGAATGTGACTATTTCCCATAATTTATTAGTACCCAAACACATGCTGAGTGATTGAATGAGGATTTAGAGTCTTTGAACAAGGAGGAATTGGACCCCTCCAAGAATTCTGAATATCCCTACTTTTATCCACTTTTATTTCATACATGTTCTTTTTGTACAACATTTTGAAGGAATTACAGAGGTAACCCTCCATTGTAAGGAGATGATGTCCATAATTTCATAAAGAAATAGAAGTTCCTATCAGAATCACTTTAACGATTCCAGCATACAATAGACAATACAACTAAAAACTCTGTTAGAGACCAACGTGCATTTGAGCCTAATGAGTTGCTAGTGCAAGATAGTGGACCTGGCCCAAAACAGTGGGTAGTTTATGAGAGAGAAAAAGAGGCACGGGATATGTGGGTGGAAAAGAGGGTGAGCTGGCTAGTTAGCTATGCCAAAAGAGAGAGAATCGTTTGTTATATGGGGGAATGATTTTGTTTAGAGGGGTATCTTTTTGCAGTTAGCCAATTTGTAAGAATGGAGAGCCTCTACGGTTCTTCAACGGAACCAGGCTCTGAGGGTAGGGAGAGAGTCTCTCCTTGCATTTTTTCTTGTTTCAGCAATTAAATACAATCTCCCCATTTTTTTCTTCTTTCATTTGCTGCTGCTGTTTTGTGTTTTCTATTCTGATTTTTAACAATGGTCCGACCTGCCAAATGCTAATACGCCAGAAAATGACAAACAACAAGAAAGGAGGATCAGCGACATCGGTGGACATGGATGACCGAGTGAAGGAGGTAGAGCGTGAATTAGCTCTGGTGCGTGAGGCAGTGGAAACTTTAAAACCAAAACAGAACAGAGTCGTATAGCTATAGAGGTTATGAGACGTGAGAATGCGGAAAATCAATCCAAGATCCTTTCCCTTTTGACCAAGAATTCTGAGAAGGAAAAGGGTGCAGATGAAGGGTCAAAGAAGTTTTCGAAGGAAGAGGGAGAGAACTCCGGTGACCCAAAAACACCGTGGAGCAAGACACGGAACACCATTCTCTGCACAAGCTTGACAGCAACGCGTTGATGGAATTCTGTCAGTCCGTAAAGAAAATCGAACTTCTGATGTTCAATGGGGAGGATCCCGCTGGCTGGATATCTCGGGCAGAGGTATATTTTCATGTCCAAGAGATGAGTGATTCCGTTCGGGTAAATCTAGCGCAACTCTGTATGGAGGGGGGAACCATCCATTTTTTTAACGCGCTGATTAATGAGGAGAAAGACCTGTCTTGGGAGGGTCTAAAGAGGGCTTTGATTGAAAGATATGGTGGCTTTGGTGAAGGGAGTGTGTGCGAACAGATTACGTCGTTGTTTCAGACAAGAAGCGTAGATAAGTACATTTCCAGTTTTGAGTATTTAATAGCGCAAATGGAGAAAATCCCAGATGAGCACTATGAAGCTTTTTTCCTTCGCGGGTTGAAGGATGAAATTCGAGGTCGTGTGCGTAGTCTGTTGGTAGTGGGTCCGCTTTCTCGCGGGCGGTTGCTGAACGTAACTCACTCTGTAGAATCAAAGCTACGTAACAAGGAGAAGATGACGAACGCATTTGGAAGAAGGGATTTCAGGGTCGGATCGGGATCGAGTACAACTTGGACAATAAGGTCTAACCCGATTCATCAAACCCGCAATTTGGTAGGTCAAGAAAAAGGGTTTGGGCAAGGAAATGGGCATGTTAAGGGGGGTGTTAACACTAGGCCCAATTTCCATGATGGAGTGATAGAGCAAAACAAATATGGGCCTAGAGACAGGGGAGTGAAGCATCTGTCATACCAACAAGTCTTAGAGAGGCGCCAAAAAGGCTTGTGTTTCAAATGTGGGGGCCTGTATCATTCTATGCACCAATGTCCTGATAAACAATTAAAGGTTATGATGATAGATGATGAGGATGAAAGTGACGGAGGTGTGGATGAGTCACCAAACCCTGAAGCTGAAAACGTGTTTGACGGAGAGTGCAGTACTCTTTGCTTGCAAAGTCTAGAAGAGGGCAAACGGGAGAATCCAAAAACCTTGAAGATCGCGGGTTCAATTCATGAAATTCCTCTGTGCATGCTGGTGGATAGTGGGGCAACTCACAATTTCATCTCTAAAAAGCTTGTTGACGCTATGGGATGGAAAGTAGAAAAGACCCAAGACCTACGAATCCTAATGGGTGATGGACATAAAGTAGTCACACAAGGGGTATGTCAAAATCTGCCGATGGAGGTCGAGAATGAGGTATATCTGATTGATGCCTATCTTTTTGATTTATCCGATATAGACATAGTATTGGGCATGTCTTGGTTAGCATCACTTGGAGAGATGTCAGTGGATTGGCTCAAACAGAGCATTCGTTTTATCAGATATGGTCGCGGGGTGTTGTTGCAGGGAGCGAAGCAACGTGAAAAATCCCCATTTTTCCTTGAGACCCTGGTACAAATGGTGGAAGAAAAATCAGAAACGGGAGAAGAGTTACCTGATAACTTACAGAGGGAGTTAGAAGCCTTGCTTGGAAGATTCAAGGTAGTCTTTCAAGAACCAAAGGGCTTGCCTCTCAAGAGGTCCAATGCTCACGCAATCACTTTACTGCCTGGACAAGGGCCAGTAAATGTTCGTCCATACCGTTACCCACACCACCAGAAAGATGAAATTGAGAAACAAGTGCGTGAAATGCTAGAAAATGGGTGGATAAGGAGAAGCAACAGCCCCTATTCAAGCCCAGTAATTTTGGTGAGGAAGAAAGACACTTCATGGAGAATGTGTGTGGACTATACAGCTCTGAACAAAGTCACAGTGCCCGACAAGTTCCCCATTCCAATGATAGAAGAACTCCTTGATGAGTTGAGTGGAGCTACCTTCCTTTCAAAGTTAGATCTAAAATCCGGATATCACCTAATAAGGATGCGCGAAGAAGATATTTCAAAGACTGCATTCCGCACACACAAGGGCCATTATGAATATTTGGTGATGGCTTTCAGATTAATGAATGCACCATCAACTTTTCAGGCTTTGATAAATGACATCTTCCGTGAGTTTATGAGGAGGTTTGTGCTTGTATTTTTCGATGATATTTTAGTATATAGCACAGGCTGGGAGGATCATGTGCAGCATTTGACAAAGGTACTGGAAGTTCTGGAAAAACAGCAACTCTTTGCCAACAAGAAGTGCCAATTCGCACAGAGGAAGGTGGAGTATCTGGGGCATCTGATTTCCAAGGAAGGAGTGTCAGTGGATCCTTCGAAAGTCGAAAGTGTTGTAAAATGGCCAATTCCTACAAATGTGAAGGGTGTCAGGGGCTTCTTGGAATTGACAAGATATTATCGTAAATTTATTAAAAATTACGGGCTGATAGCTAAGCCTCTCACAGAACTTACGAGAAAAGACGGATTTCACTGGACTGATAGAGCACAATCTGCTTTTGATGAGTTGAAACAAAGATTAACTACAGTTCCTGTATTGGCACTTCCGAAACTCACTGAAGAATTTGTAGTAGAGTGTGATGCATCAAGATTGGGTGTTGGGGCCATTTTAATGCAGAATCAACGTCCTGTGGCTTATTACAGCAAGGCTCTAAGCGAGATGAATTTGGCCAAGTCTACATATGAAAAGGAGTTGATGGCTTTGGTACTCGCCATTCAACATTTGAGACCGTATCTCATTGGGAGGCATTTCACAGTTCATACTGACCATCGAAGCTTGAAACAGCTTTTACAGCAAAAAGTGTTGACCGGGAATCAACAGAACTGGGTGGCAAAGCTCCTAGGGTACAGTTTTGATATACACTACAAGCATAGGGCGCAGAATAAAGGAGCCGATGCTTTATCACGTCTTGCAGAAGAGGGGCAATTGTTTTCCTTAGTCTATTATCCTTTTTGGATGGACATTCAGGCAATAGTAGCAGAAGTTCACAATGATCAGAAATTGCAGAAAATCAAATCTGATTTGCAGCAAGGTACAGTGGTTCCTGCTGGATTTTCGTACAGAAATGGAATTTCGTTGTTTGAGGATCGATTGGTGGTATCCGATACCTCTCCATGGATTGAAAAATTAATGAAGGAGTACCATGAAACACCTCAAGGAGGTCATTCGGGGTATTTTCGAACTTACAAGAGATTGGCTGAAAATTTGTATTGGAAAGGTATGAAAGGGTCAATACAGAAATTTGTGCGTGGCTGTGATGTGTGTCAAAGGCAGAAGTACTTGAATTCTTCCCCCAGGGGTCTTCTCCAACCCCTTCCTATACCGGATAGAGTGTGGGAGGACATATCAATGGACTTCATTGGTTTACCACGATCCAAGGGGTATGAGGCAGTATTTGTAGTGGTGGATCGTCTGTCTAAGTATAGCCACTTTATCCCGTGAAGCATCCATACACAGCGCAGTCGTTAGCTGAAATTTTCACCAAGGAAGTGGTGCGTTTACATGGAGTGCCAAGCTCAATTGGGAGTGACCACGATCCGGTATTTATCAGCAACTTTTGGAAGGAATTCTTTCGTTTGCAAGGGACTAAGCTTCAAATGAGCACTACGTATCATCCAGAAACGGATGGCCAAACAGAGGTCATTAATAGTTGCTTGGAAACGTATCTTCGTTGCTTTATAGCGGAACAACCAAAGGGGTGGGTGAATTGGCTGTCCTGGGCTGAATATTGGTTCAACACAACATTCAACAGGTCAATTAAAATGACCCCTTTTGAAGCTGTTTAAGGGCGCAAACCACCTACTCTCATTCATAGCATTAAGGGAGAGATTTGTGTTGAGGCGGTGCAAAGAGATTTGAAAGATCGAGATGAAGCATTGAAGCAACTAAAGACTCATTTAGTCAGAGCCCAAAACAGGATGAAGGCAATTGCTGTAGGCAAAAGAACTGAGAGGAGCTTTGCTGTTGGGGAGTGGGTATTTTTGAAGCATCACCCACATCGACAACAGTCGGTAATGACGCACATTAATCAGAAACTGGCTGCTCGTTTCTATGGCCCGTTCGAAATTCTGGAGCGTGTAGGGATTGTGGCCTATCGTCTGAAGCTACCTGAAAATGTGAAGATACATCCGGTGTTTCACGTGTCTTTACTGAAGAAGGCCATTGGTAGTTATCAAGCACAACCGGAATTACCTGCAGATTTGGCAGCAGATAGGTCTGAACCATTAGAACCGGAATGTCATTTAGCTTCAAGGAAGGTTGTGAAGCATGGGGAACAGATTGTGCAGTGCCTAATAAAGTGGAAGGGAAAATCAAGCGAGGAGGCCACTTGGGAAGATGAATCTCAGATCCGTAGTCAATTTCCTGAATTCTGTCTTGAGGACAAGACATTTTTTGAGGAAGGTGGAATTGTTAGAGACCAACGTGCATTTGGGCCTAATGAGTTGCTAGTGCAAGATAGTGGACCTGGCCCAAAATATTGGGTAGTTTATGAGAGAGAGAAAAAGAGAGGCACGGGATATGTGGGTGGAAAAGAGGGCGAGCTGGCTAGTTAGTTATGCCAAAAGAGAGAGAATCGTTTGTTATATGGGGGAATGATTTTGTTTAGAGGGGTATCTTTTTGCAGTTAGCCAAGTTGTAAGAATGGAGAGCCTCTAAGGTTCTTCAACGGAGCCAGGCTCTGAGGGTAGGGAGAGAGTCTCTCCTTGCATTTTTTCTTGTTTCAGCAATTAAATACAATCTCCCCATTTTTTTCTTCTTTCATTTGCTGCTTCTGTTCTGTGTTTTCTATTCTGATTTTTAACAAACTCCCACAATTGAGTTACTTTTCCTTTAGAATATTCTAATAGCACTCTATCAAAATAACAAACTAGATGTTCCTTGTAATATATCCACTCCTTATACAAATTTCTCAACTGACTTGATGGTCCTTGTATGCATTATCCATGAGTATAGAAAGTCCCTACCCACCACTGCTAATCTGAAGAGGAACAAATGAAATAGAAGAGAATCCTAGTAAAGCAGTGAATATGAGCTATAGAAATTAAATACCCACCAATCAGTCCCATCTTTTAAAGATTATTTTGTTCCATTGAATCCAAAAGCTGTGGATCTACACTAAAAGCCTTTGGATCTAGAGATCTGGCAGTCAGGTGGAGAAGCAAAATAAGTGAGAAGAATATGGCCATAACAATCAAAACACACTAAAAGAAACCCTTATAGAGGTATATGTTCATATCAAAGAAAAAGGTGTCATCAGCAAAAAGTAATTAGAAACATACACCTCTTACAAGTTCCAAGCCACTCTCAAAGATTCAAACCTTTAATAAGCCTATTCATCTGTCTCAAAACCACTCAAGACAGGAGGATCCAAGGATGTCCATTGTCTACCAATCCATCTCTTCTTCCTAAATGTTTTTTACTCCCTCAGCCTTTATTCAATCAAATCCCATCCATGCCCATTGCTTCATCCAAAAATACTCTCTCTCTCTCTCTCTCTCTCTCTCTCTGTCGTATAATATCAAGAATACATCCAACTATATAAAGGAAATATCATAAATATCACAATTTTGAACACATTCAGCAGATAACATAAAGCATTATGATAGTTATGCGGCTTAAAGCATTATGATAGTTAACCCCTATGTAGTTATTTAGTAGAATTATTAGTTAGTTAAAGTTGGCTGGTTAGTTTGTTAGGCTGGGACTGTTAGTGAGAACTTTTGTTAGTTAGTTACAGAACTGTAAATAGAAGAGCAATATAAATAATAGAGGGGAAGAGAGATGGCAGGAGTAATAATAATTCAGTTGTGGGAGAGTTTCCAGGTCCCTCAAATATCCAGGAGAGTTATTGTTGTTCATTTTCCTGATTTGTTGTTCAGCTTACACATTGGGTGTAGGGCTGGAATTGAGTTTTCCCTCTAAAAATAATCACTTTTCTTATCATTGGTACCAGTTTCTATCATATTATCCAGCCACAACATATGAATCTTTTGTAACAGGAAGAGCAGAAGTTATTCCAGTAATATATGCAAAAGCTTGTTTAGTTCAGCAACAAAAAATAACTAAATGAAAAAACAGCCACTGCAGCAGAGGCATTTACTCTAGATTATTCCATAAATCATACATACATGTAGATCATTCTGAAGTGGTGTCCCTGTCAGCATCAAGCGTTGGTTTGCATTTCGTGCAACAGACATTAGATTTTTCCACCTAAAGCTATTTTTGTCCTTCAAAGCATGTGCCTCGTCCATTAGCACACAGCTCCACCTCCATCGCTTCAGGATTTTACGATCATCTTTCTGCTGTGCACTAGCATGAATATAAATTATAAAAATTTAATTAACATTTAATAAAGTATATAAAAATGGCACTTAGGTATAGAGAGATGAACCTGTGCCGTTCAAAAAGTGAATAACACACAAGAAGAACGTTAAATGGAGGAGGAATTCCCGCCTTGGACAGTGAACTCAACTCCTTGCAGTATGCCGCACGTCTAACCCCATGATATTGAAGGACGGAAAAGGACGGGCACCATTTTTTTAGTTCCCTTTCCCAGTTTTCCAAAACAGATGCAGGGCATACTATAAGATGTGGACCAGAATCTTGGTGCAAGTGTTTCAACAAAGTTAAATATGTGATGGCCTGGTACTCCAAAAAGTCAAGGATCACAAACAACCTTAGAAACATTTTAAAAAGAAGAGCAAAGGAAGATAATATACCTGAACTGTTTTGCCAAGGCCCATTTCATCCGCCAATATGGCTGTTTGACACAAAAATTCAATGATCAATCAATCATGAACTCATGACAATCACACTAATCTCTATTGCACGAACTTATAGCATAATTATAACTGGAAATATCCAAAAATTTTGTACGAAATAGATAAATATAAATCAAAATGGCAATGGCATCACATTATAAACTTTCAATAAGCACAAACTACGAGCTGCAAATGCCAAAAACAAAGCAAATATGTCATTCCAAAACAACGAATGCATGACAATGAAACAAAAATGTCACAGGATTGAGAAATCCACACGAAAGAGCTATTTATCTATCCACTCTGTCATTTACGAAGGACATGGTCCATAAGACCATAACATAGTCACACCAAGAACACAAATTCATTCCCCAAAACTTAAACTCAGCACACACAGCCTTGAAAAGATTACCTCCTCCAATACCCTTCCGATACAACAGAAGCAAAAAATTGACACCAACCAACTGATACGGCTTGAGCAGAGGCTGAAAATCCGAATCCTCAGACCCGCACGCAACATCAACATCCTCCTACCAACACCACACAACACATCAACGACATGCAATTTGAGCTCAAAACGAACTTCAAAACTGCAAAAGAAATTAAAAAAAAAAAAAAACAACTCGTTGTTTAACCTGTGTCACGATTCTCACTGAAGAAGATTCGACCTCGGAATACCTCTCGCAAGCGGTCCCCGTAGAGCCGAAGAGTTCTCCCTTCAACTCCGCAGAGATTCTCGAACACTTGTGCAAAGCCCTACCAACCACATCCCCTTCGTCTCCGTCTTCCTCCTCGCTCGACTCTACCTCGTACAACTCCTCAATGTCTCTATCCCTCTCGCCGGCGCCATCATCATCATCGTCATCGATTATAAACCGCCGTCCGCGGCTCGCCGCCGCGTAACCGCCACCGTCGTTGTCGACGTCAGCATCTTCGAGATCATGGAGGTTTTGAGGCGCAATTTCGACGCAATCTTCGTCGCTGGAATCGTGGACGCTGACATTAGGGGTATAAGCGAAGGATTCGATAGGTGGCGGAGGGGGAGAGGGAGAGGAAGCGCGAGGACGCTTGAGAACTCGAGAGGGTTTGAAGGAGTGATTCTCCCATTCGTCGTCTGAGATTTCGTACAAGTCGGGTTTCATGTTGTTTGCCCTAAACGGTTGCAGAGTTGGAAAAGGTGAAGAATCAGAGAATTGAGAGGGAATAAACACAGTTTGTGGAAGTGAAGGTGAATAGCGCGGGGGAGTCGACTCGCGAGTCCACCCTCCCTTGCCCTGCCTCCACTCTTTTTCAAACCATTAAAAATAGGAATAATCGTGTGTATGAGTATCACCCGTAAAGCTAATTACACAATGTTTCAACTTAATTACTGTATTATTTCATGTTCAAAATTATTTCTTAGTTTTTAATTTTATTTACATGCAACAATAATGTTTAAATAATTTAATAATATATAAGACTACATAAATAGTTTTTTCCAACTTTTTTGGTATTTTTTATTTTTAATAATTTTTAATTTTTATTAAATAAATATCCAATAATATATATGTCTTAAAATACTTTAATATTTTATTTATTTAATAATTAGAAAATTTTATAATGAATACCTTCCAGCATTTAATCATAGGAAGTGGCAAAGTTATTGAATTTGGATAAAAAAGTTTCACAATGCCATTGGCTAATCCAAGTTTCACGAGTTTTAGTCTTAGGAATATAAATAGCAATTATACTTATCTTCAAACAAGCTGATTCAACTCATTAAAGTGTATATCACCCGAAGAAGTTTTATCATGGCTTCTTATTTGTTATATTACTAAACTTAGGTATATAATTATAAATTTTATTGATATTGATTTCTAATTAAAATTAGTAATTTGTTTTAACGATTGTTATTGATTAACTGACGAAAAGTTTAAAAAATAATCATTAAAATAAAATATTAGTTTTAATTAAAAATAATTATTGTAGTTTAAATTTTATTGATCTCAAAGTCGGTGTACCTAAAGTACTTTGATTATGAACATAGAGATGATAATATACTTGTAAAAGTATATTCTCAAGTCAGTGTTTGTTCCTACGATAAAGTAACTGCAATGGAATAGTTAAGTATTTGGTGCAATAACATTGACTCTTTAAATATCCATTTTTCTACTTACGTTTGTAAAGAGACGTGTTAGTCAATAACATGCGTAAGACTTTGAATATTTATGTCATTTGTAACTTTTTTAAAATAAAATATAAGATTAATTAAAAAATTATATCAAAAATATTAGTTTTATAAAATTTTATGTAAAAAATAAATAAATAAATATTTTATTATATTACATTATTTCTATGTATTTTTAAAATACCAATAAATATCAAAATTTAAATAATTATATCTATTAATATTTAATGTATATAAAATTTAATATACATCATTATAAAAATAATATAAAATTATTCAATGATTAGATTGATCAACATTATATTATATGAAAAGTTATTTTAGTAATATAATTTTTCAAGTTTAACACTTAATATTGTCAAGTTTAAGATTGATTAAAGTTGTTAAAATTTACGTTTCAACTTCACTTAGCTCACTTTATAACCTTCTTTTTCTAAAGTCCTGTGAATAATGAATTTACTTTGTCTTTAAACTTCGATATAAAAAATTGTGAGTTAAAGTGAGTTAGAAATAGATTAGTTTTAAAAGTAATTAATAACTATTATATTATCTGTTTATAATATTTATTAAATAATTTTACTTAAATAAATTAAAATTATATCTAAAAATAAATAATATTTATTTAATATATTAAATTTTTATCATAAAAATAATACTAAATATAATTATATTAAAAAATATTATAAAATTAAATTAAATTTAGCTTTTATATTTTTAATTTTTTAATTGAATTTAATATGCTATGTTAATAATTTATGATTTTAATTAAGAATTAATGATCAATATTTTTAATTATATAATCATTAAATCATAAAATAATATTTTATAAAATAAGTTATTAAAATAACAATAATTCATTTAAATAAAATTAAATAGACAACTATTAATTTTTAATAATTATTTTAATAAATTTAATAATTATAAATTCATTATAATTTTAACTTATATGATTAATTTTAAATTTAAATATAAATATGTAGAGTCTTAAATAATTATTTTTAATAAATTTTACATAAATTTTTTGTTAAAATATATATATATATATATATATAGTTGTCAATATATATTAAATTTAATAATTAATAAATATTTACATAAATTAATAAATAAAAATATAAATTAAAAGCTATATTTTTAGTTAATTTATCATATAAATAATATTTTTAATGTTACATTAATATTAATATTAATAGTATAGTTAATTTTAAATATAGTTATTGATTTAAAATAATAAATTAAATTAATAAAGTATATAAAATTAAATATTTTGTAATTATTTATTATTTTTTTATTTTAATTAATACTATTGGTATATATGTTTTTTAATTTTTTATTAAATTTTATTACATAATTTTAATTAAAAATTTAAAAATACATTTTAATTTAAAAATAAAATTTATTAAATGTAGATGAACTAAAAAGTTAAATTTACAGATATTTTTTAATTTTTATTATATTCACAAGTTATTTTTATATGTTTATGAAATTTGTAATAAAAAAAAAGATTTTATATCTACAAATTTTATAATAAAAATATTTATTTATTTTTTAATATATTAACTTTCATTTAATTAAATTAATAAATTTTATTATTATTAATTTTTATCATCAATTTTATATATTTATTGTGACTTTATTTATCGAACATAAAATATTTTTACTACAAACATACTATGATCTTAAAAATAAAATAAAATATTTAATATTTTAATAATTTTGTAAAAATAAATAAAAATAAAAATAATATAAAAATTGCATAATATGAAAAATTTTATAGTTTGATAGTCAAATAATATTTTAAAAAAATTATTTACAAAATTATATAAAAAGTGTTATAATTATTTGATAATTATTAATAATACATATAAAAATTTTAAAAATCTGTAAAGTAATTTGATAATAAATAATAATATTTTTAGTAATAATATTTAATACTATATAAATTTAATTTTTCTTTATCTTTTTTTAAACAATTTTATTGGTGTGAAATTTTATAATAAAAAATATTATATAAAATAAATATTTTTAATAGATTATTTCATAAGATAACATATGATTATCTAATAAAAGATGAGTTAAAATAATTTTTTTAAAAATAATTGATTCATGAGCTAGTTTTTTTTCACTTAACTTTATACTTTTTAGTCCTATAAATTTTTTATATAATGAGTTTTTAGGCCTTAAGTTATATGAATTAAAGGATAAATTAGTTAGAACTGATCTATTTAACAAGTTTAATTCTAACTAGAAAAATTATTCATATCTATTTTTATGTTTGTTGGATAATAACTTTGATCAACATCTCTATATTAGTAGGATACTTAAATTTTTATATCCATCTTTGGTACTTGCAAATTAAATAATTAAAATATATTTTACTATTTTTTATGATCCAATATAAAATATTAATAAAATTTTTAAATATAGCATAAAAGTATAACAAAGTACCAAAAATAATGTTTTATTAGTCAATTAAAAAATTATAAAAGAAATAAATATTATATACAATTTTAATATATTAAGTAAAATATTAAAACAAAATTCTAATAATGTTAGTTATTATAAGAAATATTTTAAGTTGAAATTGTAAAAACAACTAGGTGTAGTTATCACAACTCTCATCTTCAAGAAAGGAGTGAAAGATTGAGGCAAATGTGAAAAGTGGTGATGGTCTTCTATGTGTTGCAAGGAGGTCACAAACACAATGTCAACAAGTTTTAAAAAACATTGATTAAAAATAATTTTTTAAAATTAGAAAGGTCATTATTGAAGTTTATTAAAAAAAATTATGAATTTAAACGGGTTTAATTCCTTTTCTTGTATATTTCAGGTGTAATAAAAAAATTAAAGTCACAAAGTTTTATCTAAGTATTATAAAATTAGTTAATTAATTTAAATTTTATAAAAAATTAAAAGCAAATTATTTTAAGATAATTTTTTTAAGTTATAATTGCAAAACAACGTAACTATATAAGTTATTCTATGTGAAAAAAAGTATACATATATGTTGTAAATCGTTACAAGAATTAATATAAAATTAAAAAATAAATTATAAGAAATATTTAATAAATATTTAATTAAAAAATTTATATTATATATAATATTGTAAACTATACATAAAACTTGTACAACTTATTCATCAACTAAAAATAGTGTAAACTATACAATGATATTGTCAAGCATTACATGAATAAAAAATAATAATTTTAAGTTATTAAAGATTTAATTATTTATATTATAAATATAATTTGATTTTAATTAATAGTTTTAAATTGCATGGAAGAAATATTTTAAAAAAATTATTAATTAACTAATTATTTAATTAATTAATATTAAAATGAAATTTAAAATTTAAAATAATTTTATATTGTATAAGATATAAGATAGTTCAATTATATATAATTCTCAATGATTTATGACGTATAAAAATAGAGTCTTAAATTAATAAAATGAAATAATTTTAAGTTAATTAATAAATTGATTGTTTGATTAATTGTTAAAAAATTTAGAAGAAAATAAAAAAATATCTTAATTAATTAATAATATATATTTAATTGATTAAATTTAAAATAATATTTAATTTTTAAATACATTTATATTTCATTAGACCTAAAATAACAAGTAACATAACATGATTATTTATAAGTATCAATAATTTATAATAATAATAATAATAATAATAAATTATATATTAATATAATGAATGATTACATTAGTTTTATTATATAATTTTAAAAGAAAATATAAGTTATCGATAAAATAAATATTAACATTAACATCGAATAATATATACATGATGTATAAAAATAATAAAAATAACAACAGCAATGATAACATAAAGGCAAACATTGATGTAATACTTTCTTTATTATTTTTTGTAAATTTTTTATCTTGATTTTGTATTATTTTGATTATGATTATTATAATAGATCACGTGGAACATGATCTATCTCAGGAAGAAAAATGTTAGATAATGTGCTTGTGGCTAATGAAGTAGTAGATTATATGCAGAGGCATAATAAGAAGTGTTTTATGTTAAAGCTTGATTATGAGAAGGCTTATGATTCAGTAAAGTAGAAGTATCTTCTATTTATGTTACGTAACTTTAGATTTTTAGAAAATAGGTTAGTTGGATGGAAGCTTGTATGTGTGGGGTAGCCTGTCAGCTTTGATTAATGGTTGTCCTACAATAAAGGTTCATATTGAACGGGGCTTAAAACAAAGGATCCTCTTGTCCCTTTTCTTTTTCTTGTGGTAGCAGAGGGGTTAGGAGTCCTTATGCAGAAGGTAGTAGCATGTAGGCTGTTTTCTAGTGTGAAAATTAGGGTTCGAGGACTAGATATTTCTTTACTGCAATTTACGAATGACACATTAATTATGGGAGAAGCTTCAGTTCAGAACTTGTGAACTTTGAAAGCAGTATTGCGTAATTTTGAGTTAATTTCAGGTATGAAAATTAACTTTCATAAAAGTTGTATATTGGAGATTAACACTGACGATGACTTTAAAAACTTGGCTGCAGAGTTTCTACATTGTAAGATTGGTAACTTCCCATTAAAGTATCTTAGGTTACAGTTAGATGTTAACCCAATGAAGCTTAGTGCATGGAAGGGTGTATTAGAGGCTCTTAAGAAGAGGTTGGCATCATGAAAGCATAAGTATTTATTGATTGGAAGCAGGGTGACTTTGATTAATGTCGTTCTTAGTTCTATGCCATTACACTCGTTATCCTTTTTTAAGACACCGAAGTCGGTGATAAAGGAGATTGTCACTATCTAGCAAAATTTTTTATGGAAAGGTGTTAAGGATGGATCCAAAATTCCCTGGGTGAAATGGAAAACAGTTTGTAGACTGCAGAAGAATGGTGGCTTGGACATTAAGAATGTGCAGTGGTTTAACTAGGCGCTTCTTAGTAAATGGTTGTGGCGAAGTGTTAATTGTTCTAGTTTATTGTAGATGTAAGTGTTGGAAGCTAGATATGGCAGACTAGCTTCTGCTATTCAGTGTCCACTAGTCCACAACATGTGTCCTTTATGGTAGTGTGATTTATTAAAGGTTATTCATAAAGAAAATTAATGGTTAGATGAAAAGTTGGATAAGAATGTGAGAGCAGGTTTGCACACTCTTTTTTAGAGAGATAAGTGGATAGGTAGAGTGCGATTGTGTGAGACATTTTCGTGATTGTTTGCGGTGGTAAGGAATGTTGAATCTTGTATATTGGAGAATGGTTTTCATGATGGCACTAGGTGAGTTTGGAATGTTAGTTGGCGAAGAAGACTCTTTCAACATGAGATTTCAAGCTTTAATCTTTTTTAAAGCTTGTCGCTGGAGTTTCTATTAAGGTACAACAAGAAGATAAATGGGTATAAAAGGCGGATTCTTCAGGTTGTTATTCAGTGCAATCTGCGTATTCATGGCTATTTGAACTTTTTGGTGATCCTAATAATATAAATCAATGTACGGCAGACACCTTGCAAAGATTATGGAAAGGGAAGGTCTCTCTTAAGTGTCTAATATTTTCTTGTCAATTGTTGTTAAATATACTTTCTTGTAAAAGTTTGCTGATTGATCGTAATATTCAAATTGATGATATAACTTGTTGCTTCTGTCATTATTTGGAGAAACTTTCAACTCATTTGTTTTTAACGTGTTCAGTTTCATCTCAAATCTAGTATTTTACGGTGCATTGACTTAGATTCTTACTAGTTTTGCCTTCAGATTTGTCGACTCACCTGTTTTCTTGAGTTGGTGTTAGTTGCAGTAAAAAAAAAAAAAAAGATGTGTTTATTAATTGTTTGGGTAAGTATAATGTGGTCTTTGTGGTTACATAGAAATAGAATAATATTTTTTAATAGTATTTTGGATGAAAAGGAAGTCATAGATTTTATTATTCAGAGGTCTTGGAAATGACTATCACTTGTTAGCAAGGAAGAAGCTATTTTGTTAGCAGATTGGTATCTGAACCCACAAAATTGTTTCCGTCTTAATTTTACATAAGTATGTTTCTAGTTTTTATTTTTCTAAATAAGTATTAATTTTTTTTCTTTATGTATATGAATTTTGAGTTTCCCTTGAACTCTCTTTAATAATATATACTTTGTTTAACAAAAAAAAAAAAAAAATAAATCACGTGGAAGGATAAGTATTTCAAAGAAGAATAATTTTATGTCAATAATCAAAACTTGAGAGCTCAAAAGATACTAACAATTTACTCAAAACTCATAAATTTCAAGACTAATGAGCTAAATTGACTCAAAGAGAACATTTACATTCACAGAGAGAATCTATTTGATTTCCCTTATTATAAAACAAAATGGAAAAAAAATGCAAATTAAAAAAAGGAGTTTGATGGAAACCCACTCAATTCTGAACAGTGTTTGTCATTCACTCTATGTATATATATAATTTGGTAACAAAAGGGGAAATTCCTACAAGAGGAACATCATATATTCATTCAGAAGATTTATATTTTATGATTTATAATATTTTGATGTTTGTATAAGGTCATACTTGTGATTGAATAATAATGTATAATATAATACAAAAAAAGACTTCATGCATTCATCTATTTTGTAAGCAAAATTAAGATCTACCGCTTTTTCTTTTGCTTTGGATCCATATATTTCTTAGTATATCTGGAAACACACTTAATGCATTGTACAGGATTCATGCACCAGCCACAGCCAGAAAAGGATAAAGACTCACTTTGAATAAACTTAAAGATAAGTACATATAATAGAAGAAAATAAAGAGAAAAAATGAAAAACAAAAAACTTCTCAAAGGATCATTTCAAAAAATTACTGCACTACTGGACAACCGAATAGTCCAAATGGCTACATTCTAAAAGTTAAGCCTCAACTATCTTGCTTTTTCACCTAGGAATAATCCTGGATGTTGCAAATAATGGGCTGAAAAGGTTGATGGCTGAACTGAATTGAATCCAAGCCATGCATACACCTAAGTTCTTATTAATATTAGAGTATGCATTAAAAATTTGGTTTCAGTATTCCATTAAAGCTTTTGTATTGACACAACAGTTGATAGGGGACGCACGTTTATTTTGCATTATAAGAATGGTTTCAATGGTTATGCATTGCTCTGTAAAATGTTAGCAAATGATTTCAGTTGTACAAGAGAATCAAAATTAGTATTAATTTAATGATCAAAATGAGACAATTCATCACCTGAATCTGCTGTAATATTCTAAGCCATACAATTAATGATGAACAGATCTATGTGGCTGTAGGCATGAAAACATCTTCGTCCAACAATGCTTCAAGATCAACGAGGTTATCAAATTCTCTTGTTTCTTCTGAATTGTTAAAACTCTTATTATGCTTTACCTGCAAAAGACATGCACAATAGTCCAATCACATAAGTGAGAAGCATTTTTCCTGTTGTATAATATGTGAGAACCTCTCTCTCTATTTTAATCAAACAAAGATGGGTAAAATACCTGATTTTCTTGGATCTCAGTTACATCATTCAACAGCCTATGGTATTGGTCTCTTGCCTCTTGATACTGAACCATTGACTTCACCCTAGCCAGGGCTTTCTGCAACCTTTGTTCTGTTTGCTTCCTGCCTTCTTTTAAGAAATCATAGTCATCCTCCTTGGAAGATACATCTTGGATCATAGTTCCCTCAGAAATGGCCTCCGATTTAAATCCACGCAAACCACTGCCTTTTCGACGCCACCTTAGAATAATCTTCTCCATTATTCCAACAGACCATATTATCTTACCATAATTTTTTCTAACCTGGTGACCTCTCACATGAGCCTATAATAGGAGAAACAGACACGTTATAAATTAGATCAATTAAAAGGAACCAGGAGAATAATAGGAACAAACATTAAACACAAACAATAAATACTATACTTGATCTTAGCCAAAACAATGATGAAGTTATAAACACAGATAGTCATAGTAACATCTTTGCACTTTACAAACATTAGAAACAAGTGTACCTGAATTTTCACTATATGTTGTCGAATCATCAAAAATTCTTTTCTGCCCTTCCAACTGTAGAATTTGTTCTGAATTCTAATTGCAGCAGCATGGACAGCCTCATCATGTGGTCTAGACTTGTGTGGTTTCAGATTCATTGTTACGAGTGAAAGAGCCTGTTCATCAGACATTCCAAATTTGCCATCACCATATTCCTTCAGTTGTTTTCTCTGGAATGATTGCATTCTGAAAACTTGATGTATACGAGCAGCAGCTTGGGTGGCATTACACACGGCAGCCAGTGAATCTTTCAGTGACAGTTCATACGACAGAGCCTCATGATCATAAAATTGAGGAGTGTTTTGGATTCTTTGGACTACTTTTGCTCCAGAATTTTCTCCCACATCCCGGTTCAAATCAATGGTTGAGAGGTGTGAACTTAGTAAGGATTCTGCAAGATACCCTGCAATTCCTTTGTGTCCATTTACATAAGCTAGGTCAGCTGGTGTTCTACCAGAAGTATGTTCTGGACATGGATCAGTCAGTGCTCCAGGTAAAGCACCAAGAGAGATGAGAAAAGCAACTGTGCGCTCCCTGATAAAGTAAGATGCAAGAATTGAATGAAATGACAAGAATATGCAAGAATTGAATGAAGAAGAAACTCAAAGCACTAAAAGTTTGGATTCTTGCTAGTCAGTTTATCCCAGCTGTTTTTATTCATATCATAACAGTAAGAGCATTTTATCAGGCCCATGTCTTGAATGACATTCTATCCTTCAACCCTATAAAGAAGTATATTGAGTATCAACAGTAAGAGCATTTTAACTGTTTCTAGGCCCATTTCAGATATTCTTTTCCCCTTCCCACTAATCCATTCTTTCTCACATGCTATCATGCTTGCTAAGCTACAATTAAAGATCAATGACACATCCTATTATGTTGATGTAGTATCATGTATGTTATGGTAGATTAATATGATGAACTATAAATTCAATTCTGATAAAATGTATTTCATCCACAAGCACTGAGGTGCTCACCTGCCACAAAATGCTGCCCAATGAAGAGCAGTCCATCCATTTACATCACGAAAGTTCACATTCACGCCAGCAACTATTGTGGGTTCTAGGGCCCAATCATAGCCAAGAGCAGCTGCAAAGTGAAGCACACCTTGGCCACCCTCATCTAACACATTAGGGCCTTTCCCATCTTCAGTTATTTTCTGGAGGAGCCATTCATGTAACCTATCTTTCAGAAGATTTTGAAGCAGCTGATCCTGTAAATTTTCAGAAGAAAAACCTTTCTCTAGTGTAAGTTTCAGTAGCTTGTCCCAATCATTATCCTCCTCTCTCAGCAAAAAACTTATTTTACTTCTCAATTGAGATTTCTCACTTACACTAACTGAATCTGAATTCTGAGGAAAGGCACGCTCCAGGGACAACAGTTGTCCAAACCGTAAGCTAAAAGTATCAAAAATGCTGCCTCTTCTCTCTCCTGCAGTGTTGACTTCTTGAGTATATTTGACTTGGAAATCAAATTCTCGCACTTCACTACATGCTAACCTATTGGAACAAGTTACATAGAAAGGCACCCTCCCAGCCTTGTGTGGAGGAGTATGACAACAAAGAACACCATTTGCAATGATCTCTGCTGGCACTTCTACCTCGCCAAACATGCATGACCATTTACACTGTTCTGCTTCATGTTGACTTCTTAAGAATCGTCCCGAAATGATAACCTATATGATATTATTTTCATGAATGAAGAAATAAATAATCAGAATATAACTGACAAATAAGCAAAAAAGCAACAACAACAATTCGATGAACATATGATCAAAACTGAAAGCAAGTGCAGATTATTAAAGGAGAATACCTTAACTTCTGACCCTTCAAATGTCCAGCTTGGAGAATAGTCAATAATAGTAAAAAGCTGATCATGGGAAATAGACGGATCCAGTAAATACGTGTCCATTTGCACTTGGGAAGGAATAGTTGTGCTGCCAACCTCATTTTCGCTTTCAACTGTATCCCAATAAGCACCAGAAGTGGATGGTTTATTTGATTCTTCTACATCTCCAAGTTCTTTACTCATCCATTGATTGAAACTATCCATCTTTGTCAGACCCTCTTCTGCTGGAAATCCATCTAACAGAGTCTTCTTAAAAGGGAAACATGTGTCTTCTATTCCATCCAGGGTTCTATTGGCCTCAAGATCTAATTTTAGCTTGTCTTTTGCATTCAAAAGTTTTTCTTGAGGCTCATTTTGCATAAGAACCTTGTTTTGTTTCTGTGGATGTAGAAGACAATGATCCTCAGATTTTTGAAAATCAACTTCATTAACTTCCTGTTCACAGTTGCTACAACTAAGCTCACATGTTGAGCCTGCATATACACTATCTACAGGCCATCCAGATATGCGTAAAGAACTAAAACTAGAAGCCTGTTAACAAAGAAAATTAACCTTTAATAAATTAAATGAGTATAGGAAAGAATTAAAATTAAGTAACATGTAAGTTACTCACACTTAAAGCAAAATTCATTCCTTGATTTTTTTTTTTAAGAAAAAATGCAACAGATAATTAAGCTATCAATATTATTTACATCAAACTAACATTACTTTGTAGCGACACATTAGTTTTTGAGTCTTTTGACATTTGACAGAGATATAAATATAATACCCTGTCAAAGCTCCTGTAGAACAGATTACGGAAACCAGATATCTATTGAGAACTAAATATTGTTATAGAACATAAAATATTGAAACAAATGAGTACCACAAGCAAGTAAAGTACTGACATTACTAGTAAACAATTACACATATTTGCTGTCTAAAGCAATTAGCCAGACCACTATCAGTATGCAAATTTCATTTCATTATAACTCATTGAATACCTGCAAATTTCTTTCAGATGGTATGAGACTTCCATACTCATGCTGCTTAGCAGTGCTGGTGGTAAAATGTGGCACCATTATCTCGTCTCCTTGAGAAAAATGGCTATTTATTCCCATGTTTACAGGTTTTGTTTCAGGAAATGAAGGCTGAAAAGGTGCATGTTGACTTCCAGCATTATTTTCTAAGATTCCTTCCCATGATGAAAAGCCAAGGGGTTTTAGAGATTCATATGTCAGTCCAACATTATGAATGTCTTTGATTTTATTATTTCCTTCAGGGAGAGAGATATAATTCACCCCAGGAATGGCAGAAAACTTTTCTTGATCATCTGTCCCAGTTTCAATAATAAAATTCATGTTAGGTACAAACTTGCCTGACAACATATTATATTTATATCTCTATGTATGAAAGATATAAAAAGGAGTCAATTTTGATGCATTAATAGTGTAAAGCTTTTACACTATCCTGCAATTGTGCATTGCCACATAGAGTTTGATTCTTACATTTACCTCAGAAGTCCTACTCTTTCTTATGACATGGCAATGCATGCCTGAGAGGTAGTGTAAATTTATATTGGCAATGCATCAAAGTTAAACTCAACAATTTATGAAGAAATTTACTTATGAGTGGCTGAGGACAATAAGAATCAGCAAGTTGAGCTTTTATCTTCTCAAGAGGGCGTTGAAGCTCAAGGAAAGAGTAGAACTCAGAACTTGTATCAAGTTACAAAATTTAAATACACATAAGAAAAGTGTACTGAAGAATAAGGAAATAAAAAAATCTATTCAATGTCCTCTGGATACAAAAACAATGCATCTTAATTTTAAATCTTTAATATGCACAAAAGAAATACCAGATTCAGCTTCTTCATATTCTGATGCATGGGCACTGTTCATGCTTGTATCTATAGTTTGTGAAGGAACCTGGTAACTATGTGGATGAAGAAGAGATGATAGAGAAGAGTCCATCTCTGGGTTGGGCATAATTTTGACCGTTTGTTGAGCGTAAGGAAGAGATTCTTCTTTTTCTTTAGCACATCTAAAATTTGCCTTGGTTCCCTGATTATTTTGAGCAAGGCAGATAAGAGAAAGGAAAGAAGGCACAAAGTGAAATTAATCATATATGGGAAGAGATAGCAGACGACAATTATATTGAATGACATAGTTCAAAATGCTCACTCCTGATAAGAATGTTAGCCTTTTTTATTTTTTAAGGACCAGAGTACAAAGTCAATATCCAAAACATTGGGAAAAACAGAATAGTGCATTGTCCTAGAGAAAAATAATACTCCACCAACTTATGGCATCTAACATTCTAGAAAAACATCTGGTGTTGAAACTTATCAGAGCAAGTTTTGTATATGGAAGCAGTGACAGCTTTTGGAAAATACAGTACTTAAGTTAGGAATTAGGATGGAATTTTCATATTTTACTTCCTACGTCATACATATTTCTCCATCACAATCTTGCAATAAGTTCATTGTTCCCTAAATTGTACTAAGAATGTAACTAAAAATAAGCAACTCATCCTCAGCTGTTGTCAAATAACAATTGGGCAAGAAAAATTATGAATAAAATGGTAACACGTTACCTTCACTTCTCGATAATGGACGAGAACAATGTGTGAGAGTTCACTGCAACAATGTTGAATAAAAAGAATGAGAAGAGAAGCCCCTTGCGTAGATAGAAACTCGTAGAAAACAAATTAGCAGTTTCTAGAAGCCTAGTTTAAGTAATTTGAAGTTTAAACCAATAGAATGTGATAGCAGTTACAGGATCTACCTCGTTAGTATTTTGAAAATATTGAACAAGAACACTTACTCTTCAAGCATCCAATAAGTGCGTCTTTGAAAATTTTCATTTTCTTCTCCATGGGCATAGTAGCAGTGCAGCACATCTACACTTCCAGACTGAGAACATCATGCGTCATTCATGAGTTTACAAAGAAGAAAAATGCTCTCAATATACTTTACTTCCTAAAGCATAATTAACCGCAATTATAGTAAATAATAAAGCTTACAGCACCTTTTTGTTTTTCATTTTAGTGTCAACCATATTTACCTTAAGTCTCTCATGAGCTTCCCTCACTGTTTTTCCATCCTTTTTCTTCCTCCAATTATGACTATCCTTTCTAAAGTATCTCAGCACATTCCGATCGAAAAGGAAGAGTGAACCACCTAATGTCAAAGAAAAAAAAAACATCATAGATAATTCTGCAATTAGATATTGTGCACAATTATGTGCAGTTTTCATGCAGGTTTCTTCGATACAGGTTTTGTAAACACATTATAAAAGTAACTTTTTAAGCCCATTTCTCCAAAATGAAGGAAAAGGAAGTCATTGAAACTTAAGATAACTACTACTATCTATGGCAGAAGAGAATCATACTTGGTGGCATATATGCAGGCTCTGAATCAATTTGAAACTTCTTATAATTACTGAGAATTTCACAAATTTCAGCTGGACGTAGCCATCGATGTTGTGCTTCTAAAATAATTTGCTCAATATCTGTGTCCATAAAAAAAAAAACAATTTAAGACAAAGTCAACAATAATAAAAACAATGATACAGTAACTTAGCCCAATGAAGGGGGAGGGAAGAAAGGGAAAAAATCAAAACATTCCCTTCAACACATAATTGCATTTCAATTTCAGTTTAGTACCTTTTTTTTTTCATTTGCAAAACGTAAATCCAAGCTATAATGATTTGTTAGGATGATAGAATAGAAAAAAAAGAGTAAAAAAAAAAAAAGAGAAGGAAAACCGTGTTTTTTTTTTTTTTTAGTTTAAAAAAGTTAACTTTTTTAAACAAAAAACTTGTGTTTTTTTGTACTTTTCAATGCAAAGTTATAATTTTTTTTCCCCCCTTTAGCCTCATCAATATCAATATATGTGCGCAACTTGAACGCTACACTATTTTGGTTACAATATTTTGGTTGTGACCATCACTAATCAGAACGCTACACTGTTTTGGTTGCTTATTATAAGCTAAGGCATCCAACCTTAGGACCAGCAAAGCAAATTCCACCTACGAGTGATGAAAACAGATTTTTTAAATAAAAAAAAAACAGTTTTTATATTTTGAAATTGAATAAAGAACGAGGCTTCACTCGACGGAGTTTGAATTTGTGTATAGAGAGAGGAGTGAAAAGGAAGGAAAGCTGACCCAATTGAGAGGGGAGAACGTAGTGCTTGGTCTCAGCCATGGAAGGGACAGAACAAACGGTAACCACTTAGCAGAGCTGTTCTGAGCGTTGAGGTAATCTAATTCTACGTCTAAACTCTGAACCAAAGAAAGAAGAAGAAAGAGAAAGTGTTGCAATGTAATGTAAATGAGTAACAACTACGAAAGTTCAAATGGGGGTTTCACGCGGAGAGAGAGTATAACGTTGGTGTTGTTTGGAGGGTCTAGGAAATAGGAACGAACCAAAAAGGAAAAGTTTTCAACGCGGGAAGTTTGTCTGAGTGAGACTAATATTTAAGAGAAGATTCTGAATACATAGAAATAAAGAAAGAGATGTCCAAGTCAAAGTTTTTGTGTCATTCCACTTTGACTCGTATTTGGCTTTTTCACCCTTTTTTCGTCGCACCTTCTCATTTTATTATTATGAATTTATGATTATTATTATAGGCGTAAACTACGGGATAAGGATTGGATATGATGACGTCATGTTACTATGTTCTTTTCATTTGTTTTATTTTGGGGATAGAAATAGAACTGTGCATTAGGGCTGTTTTGTGTAAAACTCACATAGTCATAGTAAATCATATGTATAATTTATGATTTATAAAAAAAATTAATATATCAGAATGTAAATGACTAAAATTAATTATCTAATCTCGAATCATTTAATAGTTATTCTATTTGTAGGAGTTCTAATTCTATGACCTAGCTCATGTCGTAGCCAGCCATTTTCTACATAAGCTGAGAGTCGGTGATTTAAGTATGTAATTAAGAAATATAGACTAATCAGGGGGTCAGTCTAATAGAGTTAGATTTCAGATAAAGATTGTAAACTATTTGATTTGATGTCAACCCCTTCACCAGAATTAATTTACGTTGAAAACGGTGTTTTTTTTAGCAAAAATAATAATAATTTAATCTTCTTATACATTATTTATTGAATTTTAGAAAGGATTTCGTTAATTATTGTATTTGCAACAATAATTGATAAGTTTCAAAGATTAATGATATCTATAGTTGAATTGTATATCAATCTTTGTATTATACTCCCGATTTTTTAAAAACGGCACTGTTTAATGATATGCGGCCAAAATATATATATATATATATATATATATATATATATATATATTTAATCATCTTCTTTGAGATAATATTATCTTAATAATAAAATTAGAAAAAAAAATTTACTTTAAAACTGTAAAATAAGTTTTATTTTAAAAAACTAAAGAAACTAATATTCAAAGTGAAGTAAAATATTTATATAATTATTTTAAGACAACCCGTCCGACCCACCCAAAGTTTATGGGCTAGAATTTTTAGCTTAGATGCTTTTCCTAGCTTGCTAAAAATTAAGGCTTTTTTCATTTAAATAATATCTTTTTTAAATTAAATTCTTAAAATATAATTTAAAAAAATAATAATTTCCTGTTTGAGTTTTTTTTCATCAAGTCAACATCAATATTAGACATATATAAATGATAATAATTTTTAACATTATTTTAAAAGTATATTATTCTATAACCTCTTATACTAGCTAAAGGTGACTTTTTTACAGTAAAATTATAAAAAAAATTCAAATAAATTCCATACCAATTTAATTACTGAAATAGATCTAAAATTTTGGTTTATATTTATATATTTATATATTTATATTTTATTAAAATAAATATTTATAATATGTTATTCTAATAAATATTTTGTTAGTTATATATAATAAAATAAATTTTATTATTTGAATTATGTTTATATTTTTATATTATTTAAAATAAATAAAAATAATAATAATAATTTTAAATATTTATTAAAGTTTATTTAACATATTTAAGATAATAAATAATATTTTTAGAAAATAATAATAATTAAATTTTTGAAAACTAATTAAAATAATTAAATAATAAATAAATTATTTTAGATAATTTTTAAAAATTAATTAAAATATTTAAATAATAATAAATATATTTTTTAAAATTAAATAAATATATTAAATATTATTCTATTTATTTATTTATTTAAATATGTAATTTTGACTTAATATTTTGAAATATTAGTATGATAAAATGATATTTTGAATAAAAATTTTATTTTAATTAAATTAGTTTTTTTTTAAATGACATTATTTAATATTATAATTTTTAATACCCTAAACCCTAAAACTTTGCTATTATAATTTTGAATAAATTTTATTTGAGAATAATTTTTTTTTTTAAAAAAGTAAATAAAATATTAAATTATAAGTTAATTATTTATAGTTGAGATAAATATTTTGAAATTAATGTTTTCATATTATTAAGGTAACATTGATGAAGACAAAGTGTATTAATAAATATGATAACAAATTCATAACAACATTAATAATTAACTATCTCCGTAATGGTGGCCAATTTCACAACGAGGGCAGTCTGGAATTTCAAGATGAACTTGTGAAGGATTTGAATTATCATAAAGGTCTAATTGTTGGAATGCATTTGATGAATTACCAGGTTCATTAGCAAAATTTGGTTGGTAAAGAGACTGCATCTATTGAATATGTCTGCTACATTGTTAGCATTTTTACCTTTTTCCACGGCCTTATGCAATTCATTCTCGTCTTGGCCTTCTTTACTTTCGGTTTTGTGGACTGTTAAATTCTCTTGTATAAGATCATTGGTTGTCTATTGCAAGCTGGAAGGCTTGCACGAAGGTGCGTGTGGTTCTGTGGATGAAGCAGACGGCAACATAGAAAGAGCCCAATCGGCTGTTAGGATTGCCTTGACCGCCAAACCAATGGCGAAGGCTAGACCCCCTGAAAAACCTATTTTACAAAAGAGAAGGGAGAGGGATCGCCCTCGGGGGAGTTATGAGACTGCATGTAAGTTTGTGCTAAATATAAAGTGTGTAATATTAGGAGAAATTGATGCAGTCTCGTGGTACGACGGTGAAAAAGTCATACCGATTTCAAATGTGTTGGTAGTTCTTAGTGTTAGAACAAGTATGGACTTTTTAGTACATCTCCACACTAGTATGATATTGTCCACTTTGGGCCTAACCCCTCATGGTTTTATTTTTGGACACCATCCAAAAGGCCTCATACGAATGGAGATCTACCATGTTTATATGCTCTTGATCTTCCCCAATTTTAGTCAATGTGGGACTTTGTTTGCACATCCCAACAATCTCCCCCTCAAACGAAGTCCTCTTAATACCGGGCCTTTAACACCAAAGCCCACCTGGGTGCTAGGCACCCTTCGCCCTTGCTTCATCGGGCCCTCCTCTGGCCCTACTTGGGAGATTCATCACATGGGATTCACCACCATGCATACTCACATCCACATGACCACCAACATCCACATCCACACGGTACTACTTGGGGATCCAGGCTCTGATACCACTTTTTAGAACAAGTATGAACTTTTTAGTACATCTCCACACTAGTATAATATTGTTCACTTTGGGCCTAAGCCCTCTTGGTTTTGTTTTTGGACACCATCCAAAAGGCCTCATACTAATGGAGATCTACCATACTTACATGCCCTTGATCTTTCCCAATTTTAGTTAATGTGGAACTCTGTTCTCACATCCCAACACTTAGTTGTTAGTCGCTCCTCCTTAGATCTTGTAGTAGTGGTGACACAGATAGGAAATAGATGGAATTGGTAATGTACCATTCCATGTATTCTTGTGTGTGACGCAATCGGTCTTCCATTGGATGACCTGTTATTATCAGCTCACATCTGTTGTTCCATATCTCAATCAATTGAGCATGTCTTGTAACCCAATTTTCATCTTATCTTTCTCTCATGTCAATTTTGTGGAGGTCATTCAAATTATTCGGTGGAGAAGGGACTTCTTAGAAGAGACGAAACTGTAATTTGACTTTATCTGTTTGGTGTCATTCAACAATTGCAAAACAAAAGATGGCGGTACATGAAGTCCACGGTTGAACATCTCTATATGCTTCCATGGGTATTGATGTTTGCAAGTCTTGATATGGCGCCCATAAAAACTACAAATATATTTAACTTTATTACTTAAAATGATGTATAAAAGATAAGAAAATAAATATGAAGAGTTACTTGATTAGCTTGAATGTGATCAAACATTGATCTATACCCCACAACATCATTGTGAGGTTTATTTTGAAAGTTTAATACTATACCCCCGCTCCATTTGCACACGAGAGGGTATGTTGGTGGATTACTAGAAATTGGCGCAATATATGGTATGCGATACAATGTCCAGGATATTAATAGTAATGAGCAACCACCCATTGTTTTGCTACCAACTTTCGTGGCTCTGCACATTTCCTTGTACAACATAGCTAAACAAGCAGAACCCCAGCTATATCATCTTGTTCTTCTAAGATTAGTTAATAAAGCTAAATACATAAGATGTACTTTGTTGCCTGTTTTGTCAGGCATCAAAACACCTCCAATTAAACCTAGTATATAAGCCCTACAATGGGCGTGAACTTCTTCTTCAGATGGTTCTTCTGGTAATGACAACATGTTGTCTCATAGCCACTTTAGTTTTAGCATAGAGCCAATAAGTGACTCTCCCTTGACTGGCACGATACAGAGATATATGTCACACATTTTCTTCCAGTCAAATGTTATTGGACCAATGACTGGTGAACCATAAACTCTTAGCCCAAGTTGAAGTGTAACATTCTCCAGGGTTATGGTGCACTCCCCTGTTGGAAAATAGAATGTGTGAGTTTCAAGTCTCTACCTCTCGACTAAAGTTATTATCAATGCGTGATCCACCTTAAGAAGCCTTAGCTTTGCTACCCCAGCAAAACCAAGTTGTTCAAGTATAGGAACAATTAGAGGACTGGGTTCTGGCATTGAATGATAGAAAGATGAAATCATGTTTTCAGTTTCCTGCAGTTATTAATAAATTAGTAACATTATATGTAGAATATTGATTTAAATATTCAATTAATAATGGTAATGTGTAAAACTTACCGTTCTTCCAATGAAGGCAGACTTGTGTTCATTTTGCTTCTAGAACAACATTTTTAGTGATGAGAGCAAAGACAGAGAGAAACAAAGAACAAAAATGGATGCAACTTTGAATGAAAACATGTGGCCTTGGATGAACATATTTATAGATAAAATTTGGTACGAGAGAGTAGCATT